TCCTCTGTGTACATAAACAGTTTTCATGTTGACTCCAGTTTCTTTCTCCATCTTCCCCCCAACCCGACACTTTCTCTAGGCTCGCCTCTGTGCCTTTGTTAACCAGTTGTTAACCTACATACCCTTTTTATCCCCTGCAGATTCTGTGAGAATATAGAATCCTGATTTCCTTGTTGTTTTGCATGTGATGCTACTGATAAACCTATATTGACTCTTCTTTTCTTTCCCTTTGTTTACCTCATGTTTGTCTCTCCTCGCTTGTCCTGGAGGCCAATATGATTCCCAGTATTAGCTTCATACTCATCTTCATGAATGGTCAGTTGCAAATCTAGTGTCTGATTTCTCATGTGTATCAAGATATCTTAGATTAAAAGCAAATTCTAACCCTCAGTGAGCTAAAGACAAGATTCATGATTTCTTCTGAAGCAAATCAAAACCACTTGCTAAAACTTCCCTATTGCTCCCTGGTCCCCAAGCAAGAGATGTAAGAAGAACGGCTTTAGGTTTCTGCTTTGTGCCCCTCCTCATTTGCTTTGTATGTGTAGTCAGTGCTAATTTCTCCCCCGTTTTCTTCTAGTTTATATTATTGTGTCTCCGCCTGTGACTGCTGGGTCCCCATTCCTGTCCTTCCCATTGCTTTCCCAGCCTCTCTGTGCTTAGGGCCTCTTCTTACAGATGCCCATTCAGCCCACTGCAGCATCACATGGATGATTCTTCTGGACCTTGGTTTCAATCTGTGTAACTGCCTGTCTTTCTGAGACGTCCTTCAAAACGCCCAGTATAGAATTTTATATATAACATGCTATCTTGTCATTTAAGCCAACTCCGTCCCAAACACATCCTCTAAATGTGGAAATAATCAGTCGAGGCACACGTGTGTGTGCATATGTGTGTGATATTATAGTAAAGAGACAGAAACTTATATAGATAACTTAAATTTGTGTTGGCCTTTATACCTTATTTGATTCATTGATGTACCAATTTGAGCCTTTTAACTAGTTGCTGTCTCTTTCAAAATTCTTCAAAATGGATTAGGTGACCTTCCTATGGCTCCCTTAGTTCCATTTATAGAGGACATTAGACAAGTAACAGTACCCCTTTTAATTCTAGTTTTACTATCATTAAAAAGGTGATTGCTGGAGAATTGGAAGATGTGTCATCATTCATAGACACCTGGGATCTGAGTCTGATGCTAGTTGGCTCAAGGCCTAGGCCAGCCTGATGAATCTAGCCCTCTCCTTAAAGGGAGTAACAGTGAGGGTGTGAGTGAGTTTTTCCTGAGTGTGATGTAAGTTCTAAATATACGTGGTCAGTGCTCCAGAGAGAATCAAACTCACCTGATGTGGCAAGACCCTATCTTGCAAGGACAGAGTCACCAGCAGCTACATAACTAATCAGAAACTCTTGTGCTTGGAGGGACACAGCTTCTCTGGCTACATCTTTGGCTTCCATGAAGTTTCTGTGTATTTGCATAAATGAAATGGGACTGGATCCGGTCTACCCTGTGTGTGTTCATTGGTGGTGGTTCAGTAACCCATACGTCAACCTCCCAGGACACTGTACTGGTACCCACCGTTCTGTGTGTTAAAATGGTCTGTGTCCTCACATCTCCTTTAAAGATAACCTACAGGAAGCATCGTGACTACTCATCTTAATATCACCTGCCCTAGTGGAGTCCTAGATACATCATGAGGCCTCAAATATTTAACTGTATGGAAAAATATGATGCAGTTGTTTGTATAAGACAATGCTTTAAAATGCATAACAATTTCTTATTTTATTTGGGTTTTACAGTCACTGGCTTTTGAACTATGATTCTAAGGGGTACTGCTAGTCTCTTGAGCTGAATTGAGGGCTTTTGCCTCTAAAAGCTAAGAGCTTTCTCTCAATTAGCTGAAAAATACCAATGAACAGCCTGTTTCTTTCCACATATTTTTTTCTTAAAAGCTTTGATTTCTATAATAATGCTATACCTGGTTAAGCAAAGAATTATGTTTTACTATTCTAATTTACATATTATCCCATGAAAATTAACTTGACTTTCAGGAGTTCTGCTTTTTGAGCATATAAGATAACACTGTTTACAACAATAGCAAGTGCCATTACCTCCTGTTTATTGAGGGAAGGAGGATTTCCTGCATGAAATTACATACTGGGCTGTGTCATGCATGCCTTATTTTACTTCAGTCTCCCATCAGTTCTGCGGTGTGCCGTTATCGCCAGGTTTTAAATGATGAGAGTGTGTTGCTGAGCAGTTCAACATCAAAAAGCCAGGAAAGGTGAAGCTCAGTCTATTTGACCCCAAAAGCCATGGTCCTCTCCATTGTACCAACACATGGCAGTTCTTAGTGTTAGTTTTCCAATCTTACTGTTAGGTTATGAGCTCCTTCAGTGCAGAGGTTATGTTTTACTTACTGCCCCTACCCTGGGAGGTTCCTAACACCAGGTTAGTTTTTTCCTTCTCATTTTAGGTAAGCTTGTTTGTGAGATGTGTCTTTTCCTCTGTTACAAATATCCAAGGATTCACCCAAATCATCTTCAGTTCTTTTAATTCCTTTCCTTCTGTTATACACTAGGACATACCTTTCTTTGTCTTTCAGTTAGTCTTTAAGTCAGGAACTCAGTTTGTTCCTGACAGCTACCTTTAAATGGGGCTTTGCCAAATAAAATTTAAATTTCCAAAGGTCAAAACTCTCTGAGATAGCAGTTCATATTTAAAGATGCTCATTATTAATTCTAATATAAAATAATTTGTATTTGTTATTGACACATTATGACAACCAAAGAAAAATGAGAAGGCAACTCAACAGGAGACAAGGTATGGAATACAAAAAATACAGAAGAACAAAACTTATTCCTAATGAGTTGCATGTTTGGGAAAGATCTAGCCATCTTACAGTTGTTTTTGTTTTTTTGTTTGTTTATGTTCTGAGTAGTTGGTACACTGGTACAAAACTGAAGTGCCTTCTTCTGGGAGATGCACTATAATATTACAGCATATTGATTGAATACAGCGACCCAAATACATGTTGTTATAAAATTACGTCTTAAATAACAGTAAGCGAGGAGTCATAGTTGTGTCCTTAAAGTTGAAGGAAAACTAGCATGGATTCTTTAAGATATATTTATCATACAAGAAAAATAACAGGTCTTTTTTACACATACACACAGTCACAAACACATATTCTATACATATTCATATATATATATATACACACATATATATATATGAATGACTGAGTTGAGAAAAAACAATGTCACTAAAATTATCATTCCCTCACATTTCTGTTTCTGTACCTCTGTTGACCTTCGTGTATCATGATGGTTTTACTTGCTTTTTATTTGTTTTGTTATATTTTATTTATTTGTTTTTCTCCAGTTTGTTGTGCAGTGTACAGGTCTGTTTTAAATACTTCAAAACAAACCAGAGTTTCATGAAATTTGCCTCATTCTCTTCTTAATTTCAGAGAGTGGTTTACCTCTGAGCATATCACATTTAGACTGACCAATTCATTCTAATTCAGTAATTCAGGGGCTTCACCTGAGAAGCCAATAGTCTTCAGCTTACCCGAAGGACGGAAAAATAGGGTGGTGTAGGACTGGGACTCTGCAGCCTTCAGATTGTATGGCACTTTGTATTACTTCTACTCTTCCTGTTTTTACCTATTTCGTTCAAGAACAGTTGCCAACCATTCAGCTATTGCTATGTCACTTGCTTGAGAAAATTTTTAGATGGAGATGGAGAAGGTGAGTGAATAATGTAGTGAAGTACCGATAAATAAGAAATAAATAGTCGAATGTGAACTTGAAATTTATACCTTTTGGAATAGTGTTTCATCCTAGGTGGCACAATAATTTCTTATTATAAAACACGTAATTTCATTAAAAAGCAACTTTTATCTGAACAAAGATGAAAGTATTGTCAATTCTATGTTTCATACACAGAATAAGACTGTTGAAACACGTAGAAAAATCAGATTTGTAAATAATTTTAAATAGATTTACCATTTCATAACTGTATCATATAAAATGAACTAAGGAATATGTTATTTGAAACTACAGTAGCTTGAGAGAGTTGGGAAATTCATTTCAGAATATTGATTAATGGGGAATTGCGTTTCTACTGTTTTCCACTTTTTTCCCAAAAACACACAAATAAAAACTTTATTTTTATTCGAGAGCGATTTTAAACTACAAAGGGATTTCTTTGAGATTTTCCCCCACAGTGGCCAATTTTGGATGATACAAATTATTTTAGGCCTAATTGCAAGCAGAATAGTTAGGCCACTAGCTCTGCTAAGGTTGAATTTCATTTGAACTTTCTAATGGTATGATTTTTTTTTTCAGAATTTAATAACTGACTCAAATATTTAATAGTGGAAGCTTTCATTAAATTAAAAAGAAATCAGGATATATTTTTAGAAGAAGTAATTTCTTTTCCTTATCAGCTTTATCTGCTTTAAGAGAAAAAGAAGAGAATGAAATCAATCTCTTTGTGTACTTAAATAGACATTAATGCTATAACCCCAGCAAATAATTTATTTTTGTATATATCATCATTCAAAAGATTTGGGAAGCCCCAAATGGCAGTGATAACTATACTTCTAGCTTTACTGAATAGCAAGTTACACTGACCGTGGGAACCTCTTTACTTGTCTGCGGGATAATCATACTTTTTAGTACTCAAATATATTTTCTAGATCAGTTTTAGATTGAACACGGTCAGAATTGGGATTGCCTAACAGTTTTTGCTTAAGTACAATGAGTTGTTTTGAAATGCAAGTGGGGAAAGATGAGAATTGAAAGATTTGTTTCCATGTGACATTCTATGAATAGATGACAAAAGATCATTAAATGGATTAATTTACAAGCATCCTTAAGAAATAGAACGTTTTTACATAAAAGCCAGTTGTAAACCTTTTTAATTAAATTGCATTGTACCATGCACTCTCTTCCCCCCGGGGTTCTCTTGACCTCTCACCTCTTACTTTGTCCTACAGGCACTCCGCTGCTGGTGAGGAGGAGCAGTGACCCAGCGCCAGGCCCACCCGCTGATGCCCAGCCCAGCGCTTCACACCCCAGTGGCCAGAGTCTGAAACCTGCCATTCCAGTAGGTATCTTGCTGTTTGCGTTTCTAATGAAATATCTAAGTGCCTCACCCATAAATATGCTTGCAGTTTTAAGGAAGTTTATGATGAGAGATCTTTTGATAGGATATAGAAGATCAGTTATAATAATAGCTAGTATGAGCTGTTACTAGTATTAGTTGCACTAATAGCTTTTGTTTATATAGCACTGATAATGTGCCCAGCAGAGTTTTAAGTCATGTAAGCTTGCACATCAAAGGAACTACATAGGTTGTTTTTTGTTGTTTTGCTTTTTGTTTTGTCTCCATTTTACTGATGATAAAATCGAGGCAGAGGAAAGTTTAGCAATTTGTCTAAGGTAACTAGAAAGTGCCAGAGTGAAGAATTTAACCCAGGCGGTTTGGCTCCAAAGCCCCTGACCTTACCCGGTGTGCTGCACAATGGAATTCCGTCATCGTGCTTCACCGTGCCCACGGATGCAATTGATATCTCTGTAGGGTGTCGCTGAAGTGCTTTTGAAGTCATAACATGGTGAATGGTGATACAGTTTCAAGATAACCAATATAATGGATATGTGGCACCAGTATTGGGTTTCTAGAACTTAATGTTGAAATGAAAGGAGAATAATATTGCATACCAAAAGTGCTTATAACCAGCTATACTTATATACTGATAGATTATATGGAGAATAGTTTCCTAAAGAGATAACATCCTACTTTCATATGAGCTTGTGGGATCTTTCTGCTAAATCCTGAGTTGCTTTCAAGAGCTGGGATTGTGGTTCAGTCTTTGAAATGGCCTGAGAGTTGGCTTCTGGTTACTGGCTACACGTCATTACATAAGTGATCTTCAGTCATGTAAGCACATTAAAAGACTTCCTAGAAGCAAGGCTTGTCCCCATTTTAAGTCTTACTGTCTATAACATCTTAAGAAAAAGATGGCATTTTGTAGGTATATAAGGATGCTTTTTTAAGTTATATTTTATTGCTTATACTATTACAGTTGTCCCAATTTTCCCCCCGTGCCCCCGCCTCCACCCAGCCCCCGCCTCCCTCAGGCAGTCCCTAAATTGTTGTCCATGTCCATGGGTCATGCATCTGTGTTCTTTGGCTACTTCATTTCCCATGCTATATTTTACCTCCCCATGGCTATTCTGTAACTATCAATTTGTACTTAATCTCCACACCTTTTTTGCCCATCCCCTAAACCCCCTCCCATCTGGCAACCATCAAAACGTTCTCTGTATCTATGATGTATTTCTGTTCTGCTTGTTTATTTTCTTTTTTAGATTCAATGATTGATAGATATGTATTTGTTGCTATTTTATTGTTCATATTTTTGCTCTTCTTCTTCGAGAAGACCCTTTAACATTTCATACAATGCTGGTTTGGTGGTGATGCACTCCTTTAGATTTTTCTTGTCTGGGAAGCTCTTTATCTGTCCCTTGATTCTAAATAAGCTTTGCTGGGTGGCATAATCTTGAATGTAGGTCCTTGCTTTTCATCACTTTGAATGTTTCTTGCCAATCTCTTCTAGCCTGCAAAGCTTTTTTTTTTTTGAGAAATCAGCTGATGCTGAATGAGCAAAATGGATTCTTCCACTTTTATATAGCATATTCTCATCAAGAACCTGTGTCAATGCGTTTGAAGTAGAATTTACTATAACAAATCATTAGATAGTTGCTAATAGGGAACAAGGAAGCAAGTATCCTGAAAGTGGTTTAAATGTAATATTTCTTCCTCTCCATCCTTTTAAGGAAATATGTGAAATGGAAAACGATTTAATAAAAATTAGGTATGTGTGTTCTACTGTAATGATTAGTAGACAGAGAAGCAGCAGCATGTTGTATGATGTGTGTTTGAATGTGTTTGCATGTATGTGTTTAACACATACTAATTGAGACCATGTTAAGCCTAAATATATTGGATTGGAGGGAAAAAGGAGCTGTATCAATTTTTACAATATCAGTGTACCTTAAAATGAGTGTATCTGATTGTGTTACCATCATTTATGTGCAGAATACCCACCAGTTAGTTCCATGTTTCTATCCCTTATGCTCTGTGGTTAGACCAATTGAAAATACATCAGTATTGCTTTTCCTAGAGAAAGTGAGGGCTACTATCTTTCTGATAGGTTCTGTATCCTTACCAAATATGATATCAATGAGTTCTAAGTTGGTGTATTTGGAATGAGAGATATATTGTTACTGACACAGATGCAAATCCTGATTCAGGAAGAAATGTTGACATCCAAATGCTCTTACTTTACAATATGCAAGTTAGAAAACATGGGCCAAGTCCACATGTAATAAGGAAGCAGCAAAAAGGAAATCACATGTTTCCTCCTTTTCTCACAGTGGTCTCTGCGGATGATGAAGTGTAGACTGGAGACCCAAAGAACAGCGTCTGGTGTGTGACCTGCTACAGACTAGTGCCATGTCCTTCTTGCCTCAATTGTAAAATAATGTCCATGGAAACTTTAAGCATTAACAGTCCCATGTACAGGCATTGTGCCTTTTTAATCTCTTTCTCTCTAGTGTCAAGTACATGGAGGGTGCTCAGTGTGTATGTATTAGATTTAGGAATGCAAGGCACACAGTTTTCTGGGAAAAGGCCTACAAGTTCTCAGCAACTACCCAGCTTTTCTAATTTAACCGTTCATTCTGCTCCCCAAGAGAATGTACCAGGTGAAAGTTTATCTGCTGCAGGGTCTAGTTCACGCCAGGCGAGAGACAGATAGTTTAACTGCCCTATTGCGTAGGGCAGGCAAATTAATAAGTGAAGACATTGAGGGGTATCTATTTTTACCTAGAAGAAAAATATATTTGTGTGCATGTGTGTATTATAACTCTATGCATTTATCCCTGCATATCCAAACTTATGGACTATTTAGAACTGCATTGTCCAGTGTCATAGCCACTGGCTACATGTGACTATTGAGCACTAACAATTTATGTTAAGTGTAACATGCACACTGGAGTTCAAAAACTGAAATGTGAAAAGTAGGGTAAAATATCCCATTAATAATTTTTATATTGACTGCATGTTGAAATTATACTAGGTTTGGTATATTGGGGTGAGTAAAGCATATTATTAAAATTACTTTCACTTGTTTTTATTTTTTAAAAGACAGTTCTACTAGAAAATTTAAAATTACATCCATGGGTTGCATGTTGTTTTTCTTGGGCATAGCAGCTCTAGATGGAAGTAAAATCGGATATGGCAGTAATGAAGTGGTTGGAGGCCCTTGGGAGAAGTTCTTTGAGTTGCTCACTGTGTCTGGGGTAACAGTGTGATTCGGTTTGCCTGGGGCACTCCTAGTCCATGCCTGATTATTAAGTGTCCCCACTAACTCTCAGAGGCGTTTGTGTGTGGATGATAAATTATGTGGCACCCTACAGCGTAGCCCTATAGTCACTTTTATTGTTTGCTCCCTGATAAGAGGAGTGGTCTTTCCAGGGGGCCATGGGGACATAACCGCAGCTCCTCGTGGGAGCAGACTGGGGAGAGGGTCTTCGCGGTAAGGGCCCGCACCCAGGGAGTGCAGAATTGGAGGCTGCACATCCTCTTCATCTCGCAGATTCTGTAATTCTACATGATGCTTCCTCTGCAACCTCAGTGACACCGTACTTGATTCCCATGATTTGATAACTGATGACGAAATATGAGGAGCGTGTGATAATGTACCCATGTAGCAACTAGTAGAGAAATAATTGCTTAAAGAGCTCTCTTCAATTGCATTTTATTTCAATATCCAAAGGAAAAAAAAACAATCAAAATTTCCATCTCTTAAACAGAGTTTTCACATGTAAGTAATTCACAGATGGCAGAGCCCCAAGTGGGTACTGTTCAATCATTCCCAAGAAATGAAACTTACTTATAACCCAGAGCATAAGAAGCTGTAAAGCTGAATAGTTGACACATTTGATTATGTTGAAATATTGCCTCTAAAACCACAGTTGATGACTGTTATTTTTAGTTGCACTTCATTAGACTTACTGTAGAGGGAAGAGTTTTCTTTGTTGCCCAGAGATATGTGTTTTCAAAAAGTTGGGAAAGTTGCACTTGTTTTCTAGCTGGTTAAGTTATTACAAATTGCTTATTTAAGATGTATACCCTCTGACAAGTTGGAGTTTTAAAAAAAGGATTTAAATTAGAAAAGTCCAATTCTCTGCAAGCCTCAAATTCTTTGAATAATGAAAAGCCACTAAGCCTCATTATTACTTAGAGTACCATCGGATGAGCAGCATAAATATTTTGTTTCCTTTCTCCCTCTTTTCATAAACCTATCCAGTTAATCAGAATAGCATAATTACTAATGTGCAACTAGTAATGATTGCTTTTCTTCCAATTCGTATAAACTCTACTTCTTCGGACTGCTTTTGAATTAAGAAAGAGAATCCTGGGGGCACGTTATTGTAGCAGGAATCCGCTTACGGGAAGCCTTACCTGCCCTGTCTCGATTGTAACCTGGTGTTCTTGGCTTCAGGGCATGCCATAAAACCAGGATCTTGAAATTGATGTTCCTGAATTTGCGGATGGAAGAGAGCTCTAAAACAGATGTGATTTTTTTTCTTAATATCCGGTTAACTACTATGGTTGTTTTGTGTTTTAATGACTGTTTATAGTTTCACATTTAACCCCTAAAGCAAAAAAGATCCTGCAGGGTGGGTAAATTAAAAAGTGGATTTCTGAACACTATAAGGCTGTGATTGCACGCAGATAGTGAAGGACTTTTTTTGTTCTAAAACTGTTACTTGTCGTGCCTCACCAAAAGAAATTAAGAAAATACTGGTCTGTCTTCTAAAAGTCCCTATTGATAATACATATATTTTATTTAAAAAATAATAATAATATGGCAGCATTTGAGGCAGTTAAACTGGAAGTCTGCGTTTCACAGGGTCTGTCAGTTCTCTGAAGTTTTGTGCCGCCGCACGGAGGAGGGCCGGGTGGGGGAGGGGAGAGGGGGTGTGCGTGTATTCCATGAAGGAGACTTTCACTGTTACTAAGTTTTAAAAGGAAAA